GACCACTGAGCCACATCCCCAGCCCTATTTTTGTTTTATTTAGAGACAGGGTCTCCCTGAGTTACTTAGGGCCTCACTTTTGCTCACATGAAAATGAGGCTGGCTTTGAACTTGCCATCCTCCTGTCACAGCCTCCAGAGCTGCTGGGATTACAGGCATGAGCCACCGTGCCCGGGGTTGTTTATTTATTTTTGTGTGGTGCTGAGGATCAAACCCAGTGCCTCACATGTGAGAGGCAAGCGCTCTGCCACTGAGCTACAACCCCATCTCCCAGCCCCTAATTTGTAAGAAAAGAAAGCAAAGAGAAATTTCCTGCTAAGGTGGTGACAACCAAGGAGTCATTCACCAATGCAGAACCTCACTGCAGCCATGGAGGCAATCCTGCTGTGTGCTGGATCTGGGGTCTCTCCCTCTTTGGTAGGTATCTCAGTCCCATACCCAGAGTTTGCTTCCTTGGCTCTGTCTTTTCCTGGATTCCAGGCCTTGACCCGTAGAGAAGTCTATACTTCTGCCAGGAATCCCCAGGAGTCCCATGAGCAGGGGTCAGGGGGTGCACCACTGCAGTGTGTAGGAGGTTTGGGAATATCCCAGGATACAAGGTCCCTAGAGAAGGACGTGGCGAGAGGGCATCTTCCCCTCCCTCCTTATTATGGCAGAGGACGAAGCCTCTGAAGAGCCAACCAGAAGACCCCAACTCCCTTCCTCCTGCTGCCCTCTTTGAACCTCTTCTGTTTGGTCACCTTTCCTTCCTGAGTAGGTCGACGAACGTGGGTCCCAGGGTTAATTTGTGTTCCCATCAAAAGAGACCCAGACACAAAGACTTGGGAGCAGACAGTTTATTTGGGAGGTGATCTCAGGGTGCTCACATGAAAATGAAACCGAAAAATGAGGAGAGACATGGGATGGGCAACTAGGGACTCATGCCAGAGCCAGTCCTCCAGAAGCCAAGGGGGCTGGGGTCTGCCTCCTTTGAGGGTGGCCCCGTGGACATTAACTCCTGTTTAAACAGAGAGGGGGAGATGTTGAGAGCCACAGCTGAAGGGGCCCCAGCAAACTTCCAGCTGCCGGCTGATGATTGGCTCACAGCGGCCCCAGCAACTTCTAGCTGATTGGCTCCTCTGCGGTGATGCTCATTGGGCTGTTTCCCTGCCCTTTCAGACCACGGAGCTGCTCATTGGGGGACTTTTTTGGCTCCGTCCATGCAACCCAGCCAATCGGCCTCAAGAGCAGGAGGATTGTGGGAGAGGGAGAGGCGTGTGTTGGTGTGGGAGGCTTGTGGGAAGCCGGTGGTGGCAGTTGGGCTCTGAGGGTTTTTCCTGAGGAGCTGTTTTGTTTGGCCTGTGTGGTTCTAAAAATAAAGTTCGTTTCTTTTGACAAGTGGCTCCTGAATTGTGCCCAGCCAGACTGTGGCACCTCATACTTTCAGAGGGAGCCTAACAATGGTCCATCAGGTTCCCAGGTGCTGGAGACAGCAGTGGACCGAGATCTGCCTGTAGGGGACAGTCCGCCTCAGCTGCAGGTGGCCCAGGTAGGTGGGGGTGGAAATGAGGTGAGACTTCAATGACTCTGGAGGAAATGTCCCATTAGAATAAGAGATCAAAACCCATAAACTTTTGACAATATCATCTAAACCCTAGGTTTGGATGTCAGACAGAAAGATATGGCCGGACATCTGATCCTCACCCCACTCACCCCCACTCCCCATCACAGGTAATCCAAAGATTCGACAGGTTGGAGAAGGGGATGAGAGGGGAGAGAGCACCTGGACAATATCAAGATGTCCCTTTGGTGTCCAGGAGTCCCCAGGGACTGGGGAAGTTGAGCTGTAGCCCAAGGACTGTGTTCTACCCGAGGACAAACTCCTTATCACTCATCTCCTCCTCATCTTTAGATAGGGCACCTGCCACACCTCCAGACTCAGGAGGGGCCAGGGGGAGCCTGTACCCAAGACAACGTGAGATCCAGCCCCCTCCACTCATCTGGGTAGCAGCTCTCCTTTTAGAAGCCCTGGAGCTTTTTATTTCAGTCTTGGGGACAAACCCTGAACCTTGCACGTGCTCGGCAAACACTCCACCATTGAGCTGCACCCCAGTTCTTAGAAGCCCTGGAGCTTTTAAATCTGTAGAATAGGGGAGCGGTGGGATACATCTCCTGGGTCCCACGTGTGGGGGGATAAGAAGGTCTCTGCCCCACAGTCTTCTCGTGTCTCCTAAACTCCCCTGGGTCCTTCAGAGGCAGGAACCCCCTATTTCACAAGCAGCCTCCAGCCACAGCCTCAAGAACTAGATTAGTGGGTCGCTGACAGCCAGGCCTCACTCTGGGCAAGGTGGTCTTCTCCTGTGATATTTGTTCTGAATACTGTTTGAGTGTATCCCCCAAGGGTTCAGGAGCTTGAGCCCCAGTGTGGCGATGTGAAGGGTGGTGGAACCCTCAAGAGGTGAGGTAAGTGGGAGGTGTTAGGTCCTGGGGATGCTGCTCTGGGAAGGGATTAATGTTGGTCTCTCAGAGTACGTTAGTTCTCCTGAGTGAGAGGTTATTCAGTGAGGCCACCCCACATGCTTGGCCCTGTGCCCAGTTCCCTTTCTGTTTGTTATTTCATCATGTTGGGAGAGCCAAGGTGTCTCTCATCAGGGGACAAACAGATGGGGCCACCTGATCTTGGACTTTCAGTCTCTAAAATGGTGAGCTAAGAAGAACCTCTTTTCTCTATAAGTACTCAGCTTCAGGCATTTTATTATAGTAACAGGAAACAAACTAACATATCCTACTACCCTCAAGTCATGCCCCACATGGAGAGAAGAGGTGCTCTCAGGATCACCCATGGTGGCCTTCTGTAAGGCTCTTTATTGTGAGGACCCCTTCTGGGCAAAGCCCTGTGGTGTGTGTCCAGCACACTTTAATCTGTGCAACTCTCAGTGGGTTGTGATAGAGTTGTAAAGGAGGTGGCAGAGGCCAGGACACAGGAGCCTGACAGGAGACAGCAAGGCCTGAGAAAGGCTCTGGGATCATGACACAGAGGAGAATCATGGGAGGAGCTCTGACGCTCCAGGACCCTGGATTCCCACTCTGTGTGTAAGACACAGCTTGTAATGTGATTATAGGAGGAAGCTCATCCCACAGTTTGGTGGTTTGCATTAGGATAAACTGGGGCATGAGAGTTGATTTCCTGGTCCTGGCTAGGATCAGTACTTCACTTCAACCCTCTGGTTCTTTCTTCCCTGTTACATACTTAAAGAAGGGGCCCCTTCTCGACCATTATTTTACTTTGGCCTCACCACAGCTGTGGAGAGAGGAGGTATTATTTCCATCTTAGAGGTGGGAATCAGGCTCAGGGAAGTACTATTGGACATGCATAGCTACACAGTGAGCCTGGGTCCCCCCCAGCAGTGGCTAGAGGGGGTCTGCTGCCCAGAACCTACATGGTCTTCAGCAGACCCCCTCTAGTTACTTCTCTGAGGCCTGAGTTCCCTCACCTGCAAGACTAAGATTACTCTCATCTCTCAAGGTTTCTGGGAGGCTAAAACTTGGTAGATTATGCATGTGACCTAAGGATCCAGTCCACAGAAATGATTAGAAAACTCTGGCTGTTGGAAATTGTTACCTTGACAAATCTATTAAATCCAGTGGAGGAACAACCTCTCACAGCACTCAAATCCAGCTGCAGGTGGAAGTCACACTAGTTGTCCCTGTTGTGCCATGTCCCATCTCCCACCAGAAGGCCTTATCACTCTTCCAAGGACTAAGGACTCCTTCATGCATTGCAAGGAATTTATTGCTGGAATCTTTTGGTCAGGCACCTGGACAGGGTGGATTGCTGGGACTACATAGTGATCAGGCAAATGGCTTCCTTGGGTCTCCTGGGAAAGATGGATCCCTCAACACAGATCACTTGCATATACTTTATCCTGCAAAGAGAACGTCAGGAAGCCTGAGGAGGCGTCAGGGATAAAAGACATCAGGCCACACGGCACACTCTGCTGGGTACTTCCTGGAAGAGCCCGCAGCCTTGTCTGGAGCATGGCTCTTGGATCTGAGCAGATAAAGGAAGACTGTTTTTTTCCAAATCTCCTGCATCACCAGAGCATCCCAAGGGGTGCCTGAGAAGCTCTTATAAAACTCCTGCCAATACAGCAAAGAGGAGGGGAGGGTCCGCCCTGCTGGGGTGAGGGTGGGAGCAGAGTCTGGGACAGGAGGGAAAGAGGCTTGAGGGGATATGGCAGAGTTTCAGGGGAGCTGGAGTCAGGGAGACCAGAGTCAAGGTTCTGACACAGGAGCCACGAGGTGCCTTGCAGACAGCGGATCCTGGACGTTCTCAGGTGGGTCCAGTAAACTGAATAGCCAGGGCCCATCCCATCAATCCTGGGTACCCCGAGTTCCCCTGGTCCTCCCCCCTACTGCAGGTGTCTGTCCCACCGTCCCTACCCCATCATCCACAAGGCTATTTTCCTTTCAGATTCCTAGGGAGGAGCCATGACAGGGACAAGAACGAGTGCCCCTACCCACTGCATGGGGATGAGCAGATGTCCCCGCCAGCACAGAGGCCCAGACACGTTCAGTAGACTCACCAGCCCACTGAGCACCAGATCCTTATCCTCTTCTGTCAGTTTGGCATCAATGCATTGCTTTAGTATTTTAGCGTTGTTCAATACTAAAGGGTTACTTTGGAATCTTGACACGTATGCAACATATTCTTCGAGGGTACCCTTCATGAAAATCTCAACATCCTTTTTCACAGCCGGGCAAATATCACAATCTGGAACACAAAGACAAGCTGAGCTTCCCTTGAAAGACACACATCAGAACACATTCACCCCCCACCCTTGCTCAATCCAGCATGATCAAAACTGCCCTGGGAAGGTGTCAGAACCCCTCAGAAACCCACATCCCCAGGCATCCGGGGTGGTGACCCAGGCACCCACTTGCACCCAAGATCAGGAGGAGAGCAGTGCCCAGCAGCACAAGAGCACTAGCTGGCTTCATGGTGCAGGTGGCAGATGCATCCTGCCAAGCCCAGGGCCCTTTTATACCTGCTCTGGGTTCCACAGGAGGACAGGGAAGGGCCTGTGTCTGAGGACTCTTCCCCCTCTCCCAGGCCACAGCTTGGAAGTGCCAGGGGCTGTGGAAGGAGGAGATGTGTGTTTTGGAAGAAGATTAGCTCCTGAGTCAACAGAGGCCCTTGGCTCGGCCTTCTAGTATTTGTTGTTTGTCCTTCACTCTCTAAGATGTATCCTGAGCTACAGGAGAGCCAGGGCTTCGCTGTGTGTCTTAGGACTAGGACAGAAACCAACACATGGTAGGTGCTCCATCAAGGGAGCTGGGACATAGCTCTTTGTAGAGCACTTGCCTGTCATGCACAGGTCCTGGGTCCCATCCCCAGCACTGAGAAGAAAGAAAGAAAAGAAAAAAGATGTGTGTTAGATGAATTGAAGGGGTATCTCTCTCTCTCTGGAGTCTATATCCAATCATATACTTGCTATATATGTATTTATGAAGTTGGCTGGTATTAATTTTTAAAAACAAAAGTTTAAAGTATTTTTATAAGTCAGAATCAGGCATTTTTTTTCCTGGAAGTACTTGATTCATCTTTTCTGTAATCAATAGTGACAGAATAAGGTTTGCTGCACCCCTCAGAGCAGTAGAATAAAAGCTTTTTGATCCCAATCACTCCAGGTAGAATGGCAAGTATCAAGAATACAAAGGACATGGGGCTGGGATTGTGGCTCAGTTATAGAGTGCTTGCCTAGCACAGGTGAGGCACTGGGTTCTATCCTCAGCACCACATAAGAATAAATAAATAAAATAAAGATGTTGTGTCCAGTTACATCCAAAATATATAATAATAATAATAATAAAAGAATACAACAGGGCTGGGTTGTGACTCAGTGGTAGAGAACTTGCCTAGCACACGTGAGGTACTGGGTTTGATCCTCAGCACCATATGTCAATAAATAAATTAAGATTTTGTGTTTATCTACAACTAAAAAGATATTTTCAAAAGGAATATAACTAACAACAAATGCTTGAAGTGAGGTGGGAATGTAAATGAATACAGCCACTATGGAAATCAGTATGGAGTTTCCTCAAAAGCTAAAAGTAGATATATCATATGATCCAGCTATACTGTTATGGGCCAGGCTATATGGGCAATGACCAAACAGACTCCATTTTGCCTGAGATTCCGTATCATGTAAGAAATCCTTCTCCCAGGGAAAGCCCCACCTCTTCACCCAACAATAGTTGCTTAGCATAGCATATTTGGCAACACAAAATGGCAATTCTTATACGATATAAAAGTATTCTCTCTTTGGTTCCCATTTTTCTTGGATAATGTACCCTATCAGAGAGTGATTGTCTAGATGTTAGTAACCATTCTTTAACTTGTACACAACTAGGGATGTTTGGCCCATTCTCTTTTCTGTTTAGGATTTTAAATCTCATGATGTTTGTTTATGGTTTTGAATCATAGCAACAGCCATTTATGCCTTAATATGGTTTTTAATATGGTACTCAAACCCCGGAAGTGGGTCAAAGAGTATAGACTGCAGCTGACCCCTTGGCCTGCCAGCTATTGGATCCGGACCACAGGCTGGTGAATAAAGTTTCCATCTCCTACTTTAAGATTGATTCGTTAATTTATTGCAATCTCGCCTTAACAATACAACTCCCTAGTATTTATCCAAAAGAATTAAAGTGTATTTTAGAGATAAATGTGTATACATGTTTATTATTGCACAATTCCAATAGCCAACCAGCCCAGGTGCCTATCAACAGAATGTATGGATAAAGAAAATGTGGTATATACACCAAGGCACATTATTAAGAAAATATCTAACATACAGAATAAGGATAGAAATTTAAAGCCTTCTAAACAAAAATGGCAGATAATATTTAGAGGGAAACCAATCCGGATCTCAGCTGATTTCTCAACCTAGACCCTCAGAGCTTGAAGGTCTTGGAATAATATATACCAAGCTCTGAAAGAAAATGGATGCCAGCCAAGAATACCAGCCAGAATACCAGACTCATCAAAATTAAACTTCAGAATTGATGAAATAAAAGCCTTCCATGATAAACAAAAGTTAAAAGAATTCACACTAGAAAGCCTGCACTACAGAACAAATAAAGTATTTTTATGAAGAAGAAATGAAAAATAAAAGTGAAAACCAACAAAGGGGGGAACAAAACTAAAAGAATAGTAAATGAAAGGAGAAACTAATTCAAAATAAAAACCAGAAATCAAAATGGAAGGGAATAAAAATCATTTCTCAATAATTACACTGAATGTAAATGTACTAAATACTTCAATCAAAAGACATAGCCTGAGCACTGGGGTTGTGGCTCTGTGATAGAGCACTTGTCTAGCACTCAGGAGGCACTGGGTTCAATCTTCAGCACTACATAAAAAATAGATAAATAAAATAAAGGTATTGTGTTCATCTACAAACTAAGAAATGTATATATGAATTATTTTTCTTATCTATTTAATATATGAAAATATATGTATTATAGATTATATATGTATTATTTCTTCTCTATTTCATATATTTCTATTTATATTTCATATATATGTGTGTGTGTATATATATATATATGTATATATATATATATATATATAATATTTCTTAGTTTGTAGATTAAAAAAATGAGACATAGCCTGGCAGATTTGTTTAAAAAAGAAGACCTAACAATATTGGGTCTCCAAGAGACTCACTTCATAGGCAAAGATACAGACTGAAAGTGAAAGAACGGGAAAAAAAACATATCATTCACATGGATCTCGTAAACAAACAGGGGTTTCTATCCTCATATCGGATAAGGTGGATGTCAAGCCAAAGTCAATCAGAAGGGACAGGAAAACATTTCATACTGCTTAAGGGAATTATACATCAAGAAGACAAAACAATCATAAATATTTATTCCTCAAACAATGGAGCATCTATGTATATCAAAGAAACCCTTCTAGCTTCCAAGAATCAGATAGATCACAACAAAATAATACTGGGTAATTTTAACATGCTTCTGTCACCACTGGATAAAACTAAATAAAACAAAAACTAAATAAAGGGCTGGGGTTGTGGCTCAGTGGTAGAGTGCTTGCCTAGCATGCATGAGGCACTGGGTTTGATCATCAGCAACACATAAAAAAAAGAAAAAAAACTAAATAAACAAAGGTATTGTGTCCATCTATAACTAAAAATATTTTAAAAAACTAAATGAAGAAGTCATAGAACTAAAAATACAATATATAATTTAGACTTTACAGACATATATAAAATATTTCATCCATCAATGACTTTCTTTTCAGCAGTATGCAGATCCTTCTCTAATATAGACCATGTTATGTAAGGTATCACATTTGTTGGCACGCAATTGTAATGCTACCTTCATATATTTTTAGCATCTATAGGGTTATTTTGACAGCTCCCTCCCCATTGATATAATTTTTTGTGTTCTTTTTTCTTTACTAGACTTGTTTGATTTTTATCAACTTTTAGCTGTATTATTTCTTCTCTATTTCATATACTTCTTCTCCTACTCTTATTTTTTCCTTTCTATTACTTAATTTGAAAATAATTTGATTGTCAACCTAGCTTCTTTCTGATAGAGGTACTTTAGGATATAGATATTCATCTGACCACTGTTCCATTCCAGGGATTCTGATATTTTAGTTTTTGTGATCACTTCTTTCAAAGCACTTTTATTTACTTTCCTTGTGCTTTCTTCCCTGACCTGTGAGATATTGTAAATGTGCCATTTAATTTTGAAGTAGTTGACATGTGGGAATGGGGTTCTTCCATGACCAGTGCTGCCAATTTAGCCGGTTCTGACAAGGAGCAAATGAGGATAAGAAAAATAAAGACTCATGGATGCAGATTGTGAAGATATAGCTGGGTCAGATGGAGCGCTGCTCTCTGGTGGAGAAGCAGGTCTAAAGAATTACACCAGCAATCTTTATTTGTTTATGTCTCATTATCAGATTAAAGGCTATGTAAGCATTATACTTTATATGCAAGAAAGTTACAGAGTTAGCAACATTTTTAGCTTATTCCCCAATTACATTTTACAGTTGCAATGTGCAATGTTAGGAGCTATGTGTAGTTCTCAAGAAAGTCCATTGTTTAAAGCTACTGTTAGGGGGGCAGGTTCAGGAGGAAGCTGGCAAAACATTGTGGTCACCTAGCAAGAAAATTCCTCTATTCCCAGGAGCTGTGTGCCTGAGATCAAGGTTTAGGCTGATAAGACTCATCACAGAGCCTCCTCATGGAGGGAATTACATAGTAGCTAGGCATTCTGCACCTTTGCATGGAAATTTTCTCAGGCACCAAGCATGCCACAGCCATGAAGTCATCAGAGACCCCAATCTAGGACACTGCTCTCCCATTCTCTGTCACAGCTCTCTACAGGGTTCTACATATCTTAAAGTGATTGATTTCATTCTTTTTTAAAAAATATTTTTTAGTTGTTGATAAACCTTTATTTATTATATGTGGTGCTAAGAATTGAACCCAGTGCCTCACTTATGCTAGGCAAGTGTTCTACCACTGAGCCACAACCCCAGCCCAAAGTGATTGATTTGTAATGTAATAAATCATGCAGAAAACACAGGCTGCATGATTTAATTTTTTCTTAAAAAAAGTTATGGAAATGCTTTTTATGTTGATTGTATTGGTTATACACCTGTCAAAATATGTCAAAACTGATCAAATTGCATACTTCAAATATGTGCATTTATCATCCTTCAATTTTGCGTCAATAAAACTATAAAAAAAAGAAAAAGTGGTATATGTACACAATGGAGCCTTATTCAGTCATAAAGAAGAACTAAACTATGTCATTTTCAGGAAAATGGATGGAATTGGAGACCACAATTTTGAACGAAATTGATTAGAGTTGGAGAGAAAAGTATCATATGTTTTCTCTCATATATAGAAGCTAGAAAAAAAAATTTATACTTTTGTGTATGCATGACTAGGCCACAACAAAACCCACCATTCATATAATTAATATGGACACTAAAGTAAATAGATTAAAAAAGAACACAGTGCCAAACAGGATTCACAACCGGTAACTGCCGTTGGTAAAGAGGTGCCAAGTGCTGAGCTCCATTTGTTAGCTGTCCTTTGGTCTGTGACAATTTCTCAATCTTTCTTTGTTTTTATGACCTTGGCAATCTCGAGGAGGTCTGGCCAGATATTGTAGAATGTGCTCGAAAACTGAAGTCTCTTCCTTTCTTCTTTTTCTCCACCCTCTTCCCCCTCTGCCTCCCGTCCCTTGATCTCCTGGTCTTTTGCATGCTGGGCAAGCACTCTGTCACTGAGTTACCTCCCACTCCTCATAAGTGGTTTTTGAGAAGACACCACAGAAGTCAGGTGCCCTTCTCACACTGGATCAGAGCACACATGATACCAACACGTCTTATCCTGGTTATCACTAGATCACTCGATTAACACTAACCAGGCTTCTTGACTGTTTCCCCTCTCTCCCTCCTTCCCTCCCTCCCTTCCTTCTCTCTCTCTCCCTCTTTCTCCTGGATTAAACCTGGGGTCTTGCTCTACCCCTGAGCCGCATCCCCCAGCCCTTTTTATTTTAATTTGAGACAAGGTCTCACTAAATTGCTCACGTTGGCCTTGAACTTGTGATCCTCCTGGCTTAGCCTCTAGAGTAGCTGAGATTGCAGGTGTTTTCACCACCATGACTTGATGTTTTCCCCTTTTTCTATTCTTTCCTTTGGAGACATCTTGTCTACTTTCCAGGAGGGAGAAGAAACAAGCGCCACCCGCTGTGGGGTAGGATCGACCTGCACTATTTGAAATTTCTTCTATAAGGAATATTTGCCTTCTCTTCCCCACTTATTTAGTAATTCAATCATTTATTTTTATCAGCATGGTCTCACCTGTATTATTTTATACTATATTATTGGTTCCAGTCCAATACTATATTATTTACTTTGTTCTGGAACAAAGTAAATACTATAGTATTTTGACTAAGGGGAGTTTTTTTTCAGGCTTTCATGAATAACCTCTCTCTCTCATGCTGGGACTCAAACCCAGGTCCTTGGGTATACTAGGCAAGTGCTCTACCACTGAGTGGCACCTCTAACTCCGACAAGCTCATTTTATTTGTGACAACAACCTGCTTTCCTAGGGTAGGTTGAGCTGAGCTCTTGAGAGTCTGAGCAGATGGAGTAACACCTCTGGGTCAATCAGCTCTCTGGCCCGTAGAACTCCAGCCCTCAGGTCTACAGGGCTGAGGACAACTTAGGTCTCCAATGCAAGGAGAGGAGTCCCTCTGCCTACTTCTCCCTGATGTTACTGGATGGCCTATGCAGCTCAAATCTCTCCTGCTGAAGGGGGAGATAGCTAGGAGAAGGGACCTGGCTGGAGCCATAGGAGATCAATAAGGGGCCTGGGAGTTAGCTCCCTTAAGCGTGATAGGGAAGCTGTTGGAATGATCCAGTTGGTGAGTAAAACGAGAGCATTGCCAGCCCTCAAGGACACCCTCAATGGCCACATGCTTTGGGACATCCTTAGCAGGGAGTGATTCAGAGTCACTTACCCTTGGAGGCCCAATCTGGAGACTGCAGCCGCTAAGATGCTCAAGTGGCCCCAATCAGGCCCAGGCCTACACATTTTTCCACAAGTCTTAAACTTAGGCACAACGTCAGTTTTCTGGAGGATGTTTGGGTTACCTATAGTGACACAGACCTGTCCTTGACTCCCGTGGTTTTATCTCTACATTTTGATGGAGTTCTGCATGTTGGAGCCAGGAGAGGAGGGAGAAGGATGCAGCCAGGAAACAGAGGTGAAGTTGGGGCTGGGACAACAGAGCATTTGGCTCAGAATGGAGCCCAGGAGAAAGGTCAGGTCAGGAGGATCTTTTGGCAAAGGTACTGCCACTTCTCTCCCAAAAGCAGACAGCACCAAGATAAACATCTCCAGCAATTTGCTCCTCAGAGTGGGAGGGGCTTCCGGTACTCAGGAACCCTGGGTGAACTGTGTGTACCAGGTCCCTGCCTATAGGCATTTGGATCTCCTGGGAGGGTGAGGGCTGGGCTCAGGAAGCCAGTGGCTTATAAGGCAGTAGAAACCCTTCCCTGAGCAGAGCATTCCAGCAGCCTACACCATGAAGGGGATACTGCTTGTGCTGGCCTTGCTGGTGACCAGAGAGCTGGGCTTCCAGACTGGTGAGAGTGGGAAGGAGGGGACAGATGACCTTCCTGACCTTTGCCCACTCTGTCTCACTCCACCCTCCCATGATGATCTCCAAACTGCTTCTAGGGAAGGATTCAGGGCTCTACCCCTGAGCCACATCCTCCAGCCCTTTTTATTTTAATTTGAGACAGGGTCTCACTAAATTGCTCCCATTGCCCTTGAATTTGCAAGGAAAGTCATTGCTCAAGAGTCCTGCAGAAGACCTCTAAAGCACTCTGTTTTCAAGTGGAGGGAGAGGTCTGGCGCTGGAAGGGCCATTTTTTGGGGGTACAGTAGGGGAGAGTGAGTTGGGATGGGGGTGCTTATGTGAAGGCCAGAAGCAGGTGGGCTGGTATGCCCTGGGCAGTAGGATCTTTAGTCCTGGCTTCTCACACCTCCCGCTTCTGGAGTGCCTCAGGGACTATGTGCCTTCTCTCTGGGATGGCAGTCCTGGGGAGGGCAGGTCTCTGTGGAAGATGAGTCAGGAGACAACACTCGATAAAAATGGCGGAGAAACATGGGCTCAACTTCTTCCCCCAGTAGCTCTTTTAACGAAGTGTTTTCCTGTTTGTGTTTTCAGCAGAAGCCTGCCCTCTTTTTTATGGAATCTTTTCTACATTAGCTCTTGGAAGCAAGTCATTACTGGATGCTTCCCTTGAAGTGGCTAATTTTACTGAACCAGAAAAGGCAGCCATGGAAAAAATCCAGGATTGCTACAATGAAAATGGATTATCAGCCAAGGGCTTGGATTTGATTGCCATGGTAACGTGCTCTCTAAGTGCCCCGCTCCGCCCCCACACACAACATGTCATAGGATGCCAGGTACAAACAGATCATGCAATCATGCACGAGAGGCGAGATCCACAACTGAGCGCATAGACCCTTGCTCGTCCCCATAGCGATGTCATATGCAACAGCTTGCCATGTGCACATCCAGCCTTTTCTGCTACCATACATTCCTATAGCACCAATCAGCTCACATACAACAGGTAAATAGGAGAATAACATCAGTGCCACATAGAAAACGTGTCGAGTCCTGTGATTTTTTTTCCCCCCTAGGTTAGGAGAAGCTAGCAGAGCTGGAGTAGAATTTTAACTCTGGGCAGCAAAGAAAGTATCCTGCACAGACAGGAGCCCATCAGCTCTTAGTTTAGGAAATTAGAAGACTTCTGCTTAGTGGCCAGCTTCATTTCCTCTAGTGCCCACTTGGAAAGCTAGTCCACTCCACTGGCTCAGATGGAGCCCTGCTGCCATTCCATATCATCTCAGTTTCCCCAGCCAGAATTTCCACTCCATGGTTTGGATGCCTGAGGTTTTGGAAGTGGCCTCTAGGTACCTGCCTCTGCTTACCACAGCAGCTCAATGTATTTTCTGGTGATATATCTTTTTTATTTCTTCTTATTGTTCTTGTTACACAGATTTTTGAATAGTTGGTTTCTCACCTTATTTTTTTCCCCAACATGTTATTTTTTTAGTGTTTGATTCTGAAAAATGAGATGTTTTTCACGAAACAGAATTTCATGTACCGATAGATATTTGCACACAGGGCACACAAGATTGTTGACAACATGGACACACACTTTTCATTCATCCCATAGATCTCACAGATGGTCTCAGGTACAGGAGACTTGACGAAAACTCAGACTCAAGCCACCTTACATCACCCTCAGACCCAGTCCCCACCGTTCCCTTCAGAACCTTTTCATCTCCTTCCCTCCCTGGCCGGGTGGTTGATGGGGCTCCCTCTGGACAGTGTCATAGTGTCAGGAAGCCTTCTTCATCTTGGCCTGAATGGCTGCAGCCCCTCTCCAGGGGTGGACCTGCGGGCCCATGTTTCTTGCTGGAAATGGAGCTGAATAGTACGGTGGTCCTGGGGAGATTGAATAGCTCTGCCAAAGGTCTGGGACCTCCATGAGCCATCTCTCTCTCTCTGTCTTATTCTCTCCCAGGTCTCCATTACTGCCAGCCCAGAATGTCTCCTCTTCTATGTGCAATCACTGAAGGACAAAATTTAAAAATGCCTTTTCAACCTTCCATGACCAGTTGACACTGAAGTGTTGAACCTTTGCCCCCTGTGTCTGACCTGACCTCCATCTCCTCACCCTTTTCTCTTTTTTCACCTGAAGCTGGAATCCAGGCACCTGTCCCCATCTGATTCTCTTTATTAGGCTGACTCTAATAAAACACCTGCAGCTCCGCTCTGTGCACCTGAGGTCTGTGTGCTGTGTGACATGTGACATGTGTGGTCACTCAGAGCATGGGCTCTAGGGTCAGGCAGAACCAAGATAAATGTAGACCTTGCCACTCACTAGCTGTATGACTACAGACAAGCCATTTTGTTCTTCTGAGGCTGTACAATGGGGACTGTGTGAGGACTAAATAATGTCCCTAGGGCTGGGGCTGTAACTCAGTGGTAGAGCGCTTGCCTAGCACGTGTGAGGCACTGGGCTCCATCCTCAGCACCACATAAAAAAATAAAATAAAATAAAGGCAACCTTGAAAAAAAATAATGTACTTGACTGCAGCTTCACCAGCCTGGAAGGATAAAAATGGAGTTAAGAGCTACTGAGGGCATATGTGGGTGCTGTCCTTACCGCTGTCGCAGGGCCTCTAGCCCTTCCAATGTCCATCCAGTCATTGTCGAGTGACTCGGGAGATGACATGGTGCACTCATCACAAATACTCTTCGTCTCCCAGTGGCGGTTGCCATTTTCTACTTCTTAGTTGATGTCCTCCAAGGAGGCTGTCCTTCCTGCAGGGACACCCCAGGCCACTGCTGCTCTTGGGTTCTTCCCCTGGCACTGGAGCCCCGCATAACCTTGGCCTGGAGGATGGGAAAAGAGAGCAGATGGCAGAGTCTTACTCTGAAGGGAGGCTGATGTAGTGGAGAGAGCTCGGGCCCTGAGGTCCCACCCACAGGTGTGCTACCTGGGACAAGTGACATGACCTGAGCTTACATCTAAAAATGTCAAATGGGTACTTTCATTTACCAGGAGACTGCAAGAAAGGGACCCTAGAGCAGTGCTGGGCTCC